CCCCTCCCTCCTCGCCTCCCTCTCTCGCACTCCTCGCCTCCCGCTCTCCCTCCCTCCCTCCCTCTCTCCCCTCCCTCCTACCTCTCCCTCTCCTCCCCTCTCCTCCCTCCTCCCTCCCTCTCTCCCTCCCTCCCTCTCTCCCTCCCCTTTCCCTCCCTCTCTCCCTCCCTCCCTGTCCCCTTCTCCCTCCCTCCCTCTCTCTCTCCCTCCCTCCCTCCCTCTATCTCTCTCTCTCTGTGCTGGTGCTGGAGCAACGGTGAGTGCATTCGTTCTAGGCTATCTTTCAGATAGTGAATGGTAACCCTGGCCATTCCTTGCACACAGGGGGAGATTTGGCCAAAATAAAACAGACGGTATGTCACAACAAAGAATATCCATTGTGACAAATGGAATTAAAACTAAATCTTTAAATCTTAAAATCCTCTCGCCTCCCTCTCCCTCTCTCTCCCTCTCTCCTCTCCTCCCTCCTCTTCTCCTTTCCTTCCCTCTCTCCTTCTTTCCCTCTCTCTCCTCCTTCCCTCTCTCTTCCTTCTCTCTCTCTCCTTCCTCTCTCTCTCTCTCTCCCTCTCTCTCCTTCCTTCCCTCTCTCTCCTTCCTTCCTCTCTCTCCTTTCCTTCCCTCTCTCTCCTTCCTTCCCTCTCTCTCCTTCCTTTCCTCTCTTCTCCTTCCTCTCTTCCTCCCTCCCTCCTCCTTCTCTCTCCCTCCTTCCCTCGCTCTCCCTCATTCCCCTTTCTTTCCCTCATTCCCCTCTCTCCCTCCTTCCCCCTCTCTTTCCATCCTTCTCCTCTCTTTCCCTCCTTCTGCTCTCTTTCCCTCCTTTCTGCTCTCTTTCCCACCTTCCCGCTCTCTTTCCCTCCTTCCTCCTCTCTTTCCCTCCTACCCCTCTCTTTCTCTCCTTGCCTCCCTCCCTCCTTCCCTCTCCCTACCTTCTTCCCACTCTCTCCCTCCTTGCCTCCCTCCCTCCTTCCCTCTCTCTCCCTCCCTCCCTCTTTCCTTCCTCTCTCCCCCTCCCTCCCTCCCTCTCTCTCCCTCCTTCCTTCCATCCTTCTCCCCTCCCTCCCCATCTTTCCATTCTGTCCTTTTTACACTTTTTCCAATTCAAACTTTCTTCTGTTCCTACTTTTCATTATCATTCCTTTTCCCTCTCAATTCATCCCTCTTTTCCTATACTTCTCTCTTTACTAACCTTTGCCCGAATCTCATCAGGGGTCAGTTTGCGGACATCGGTTTCTTCATTCATATCAGGCAACTCAATCTTGATAAACTGAAAGTAGAATCAAAAGGTGTCAATGCTTTATCTGTATTTATAAAAGTAAGACTTAATTCATGATACTATATATCAATAATGTATTAGTAAAAGAGACAGTGAAGAGCAAAAAATACATTCTAGTCTATATCACATTGTATTTTATAAACGTTATATAAATCAGTGCTTCAGACTATAAAATTCTACTTAGTTACATAAATATTGATATTGCAAAGAATTAGCATTCTGCAAGCAAATAAACAAACAAAAGACAATAATACTGAACAGTTTTACCTTTAACTTTCTGTCCCTCTTGAATTTTTCAACATAGTGCTTGCGCTTGAAGTTAAATCTTGCTGGAATGGTTTTGTAATTGTCATCTTTGTAAACATAGTATCCTCTGCTTATTGTTAGTGCTGCACTGCTACTTGCAGGTGGCTAGAAAACAGGAAAAAAATTAATGCATCTGTACAACTTTGTGACTGTGTTCACATTATGTATGTGTATGTATATATATATATATATATATATATATATATATATATATATATATATATATATATATATATATATAATACATATATATATTCTACTAACACACACACACACACACACACACACACACACACACACACACACACACACACACACACACACACACACACACACACACACACACACACACACATACACACACATTACACAACACATACACCACACATACCACACACATATTCACACACACACACACACACATATCACACACACACACATATCACACACACACACACACACACACACACACACACACACACACACACACACACACACACACACACACACACACACACACACACACACACACACACACACACACACACACACACACACACAAACACACACACACAAACACACACACACACACACACAACACACACACACACAACACACACACACACACACACACACACACACACACACCACAAACAACACACACACACACATATATATACATATACATATATATAAATCTGGGAAAACAGGCTGAAATAAGAAGAATAGTGAAAAGAAAAAAAAAAAAGCGTAATCCCAGCACAAAAAATTATTAAAACTGCCTAATGAAACTCGGTTTGCATGACACGAGTGGACTTGGACTATGAGTAGCACTTTCCATGATCTTTTTCCTTCAATTGTGGCGTTACTGTCAGTGTTGGTAGATTATTTCTTGTACTGGCAATTGCAATTTTTTGTCTTCTACAAGTGTATTATCTTCAATATGCCCTACCTTAGTACATCCATACCCATGTTACCTACATATATGTTTCTATAGTGACCATACTGAGAAAAGGAAATTCTAGGGGCACTGTCATAAAGAGAGGGAAAAACTACACTCACTGAAATGTGAAATAATCTTCACAGGCAAAGAATAATTTCAGAAATTAAGAAAATACATTACAAATGCCACATCGAGAGTAAGTCTATTATAATCAGGTGGGGATTCAAGGTCAGAGGCCCTGACAAGGATATACAGCAACTGGGTGGGTGTTTGGGGGTTTGGAAGATTTGGTGTTCATACAGCAACGTTTGTGGATCTTCAAGAGTGGCTGGAACAATGGGGACTTGGTCTCAGATGGGTGCGGTCACTTTGTAAACAATTACTAATACTTTAATTCACACCATTTGTGATGGAAAACACCAACAGAATACACATATTACACCATGAATAGCTGAAGCAAGAAATACTAGTGCAAGATAGAATGGCTGTATGAATCTAAAAAAATTCTAATAAACTGTATTTTACTAGAGGATTACACAACTGCATTTAGATTTGTGAGCTTTCATTAGCAAAAATGGCATTAAATAATTAATTCAGGTTATTTTCATACCAGAAAGTGTTTTATGTATTCTTTATGGACAGGACCCTAGGTATTCTCCTCTCAGTGTTTGGAAGTGCCTGTTTTATGTTGCGTTTGGAACTCCATGTCCTACAAGTTTGATGAGATGGAGATGTTTTGACCATTCAGAACCACTACTTCAGCTTCCTGGAGAAGAGTAAAGTACCCTCATTCAACCCTCCCTCGGGCAGTGCCCAAAGTGCTCGCCTTGTCACAGCAACTTAGATTATAAGGCGAGGTTGGTTTATTGGTCAGTATGTTTTTGGGAGGTTTGGATGGTGTGAATTCCAATAGATTTTACCAAAAGATGGGTTGGATTCCCATAGTTTTTTTAATTTTGGCACATCGGTCCATAGAATTTGAGAGATAGTGGACACATCTACAGAGTTTCACTAGACGATTTTCAGTGCTTTTTGTGCTGGTTTTGCATATTTTTGTTCTTTATTTTTCTTATCTAAGCCTGTTTTACCCTGTAATTTCCCTGATACACTTCATGCCCTCCCGTGCTACTGGGACTATCAAATTAAGATCATTGATGGATATATGGTACTCAGAAAAGAAACAACGGTAATTGTTACCGAGAGCGGTGCACACTCCAGAGACAAAGTCCTAAAGCCAGGGTATTATAGGAATCCAAAAACCCAAAGCTAAACTTTCCTGCCATCTATTTTTTTCCTAGACGGGGGAAAGCCACCCTGCTGTATTCCCTTCTAATAGCTCTTAATGTCAACTTATAGAAAATGCAAAATTAAGAACTCTGGTTATGTGAGCATGTTGTGGACCTAATCTCCGATCTATAATATGTAGTGAGTATTTTTTCATTTTGTGGTAAAGGTATTAATGTCGGTTTCAATGCTATTTCAGAGGATCCTTGCCGGCCAAATAGACATTTCGTAATTGACAAATTACTATATATAACCTGAATCTGCTAAATTATTCAGTCTCAGATGCCATACATAACAGAGAATAGTCATCTTCTGTACTGTCATCAATGTTAACCAAGGAACGTTATCGTAATAAAGAGATTTACTGAATCTGAGAGATTTTGAGGTCTGGAACACATGTAAACAAACATTTCCATCCGAACACAAGAGTATGGAAAGTCATTTTTCTCCGAATTACACGATTATACGGCACCCAACATTTAATTTCTCTTGATAATGGAGAAACCCTTAACAAACACAACACCACTATAGCATGAAAAGGACTTACGGTGAGCGATAAAGCACGAAATTTGCTAAGCAAATTTAAAGCCATTTTCACCCGGTGCTTCTGCTCCCACTGTTCATTTAAGCTCGAATGTCAAAGGTATTGATTATAGTTAATACTAGCCCATGCCTTGTAGATTATATTCTTAGAACTGGTACACTGTTGTAAAATAATATTGCTCTTAGAAGAAATATGCTTTTTGACAAATGAATCCGAAATTACAACTCGAATGTACAATCCGAGAATATGGTACGCGGGAAATTCGAATTTTAGTTTCCTATTCCAGACGACACTTAACTTCCAATACCTTTCTTAAATACTGACATCTTCTGAAAGATCAGTAACAATTAGCTTTGTTGACATGTAATCATAAATATTGGCTGCTTTTGTAAATTGTAAATACCTAATTATGATATTTCTCTTTCCTGCATTTAAGTATTCTCATTGTCAGTTTGATAGCAGATGTTACAGTATCAGTGTGTTGAAAACTACAATTTCTATTATTGCATATATATATATATATATATATATATATATATATATATATATATATATATATATATATATATTTTTTCTTTTTTTAACACTAAATTAATATTGAACCTCACATCACATGAAAGTAATATTATGCAGAAGCCTAGGACCTGAAA